TTGCCAGGAGCATGTTATTGACTTTGTTGATAATATCATTATATATTTTACAGTCATAAAATCAAGAAATTCAGATTATGCCCTGAGGACTTCACACATTTAAATAAAGGATATAGCCATTTCCAGGGCTATTGGTTTAGATTAGTGGATGCTGTGAAGAATAGGTAGTGTGTTATAAGAGCATAGAGAAAACGCAACAGCGTGCTTATTGCAGTGATGCTTTGGTTTATTTTCTTATTCTGTTTACGAAATATGCTTACTTACACATCCCCTGGGAGAATGAACAGTTTGCTCTAAATGTTAGCATATTAATACAGTGGTAGCTTGGTGCTCTGTTGTGCTAAGAGCCAAAATCAAGTGTAATCCTTGACCTGTACCAAGAGTGAGGATAAGTCGTCTTGAGACACTCACCAAAATACACAGTGCCTGGGAAGGAAACCTTGCATGACCTTCAGTCTGCAAAGTTAAAAGCATTACTTGGAGCCAGATAACCTAATGTGAACACAGCTAGCTCTCCCTCTCGACGTCAAAGTCGGGGTTGAATGGCAGCTGGTGGGCTGCTATGATGGTAACGTCCCCCGAGCGGTTCCGGTGACCACTGCTGAAGGGCATGGCCTGGGGAGCACCCACCTCCGGCACTCAACTTGGGCTGCTTTGACCTGGATCTTCCACAATAGCTTATGCTCCTCTTGAACTGTTTACCAGTCACGTTTTGGGATTGAATGCACTTGAGGTACTTGGGTTGAGTACTTGGGGTTTTGGGTTCAGGTCTGTCTCTAGCTTGCTTTACAGAATCTGAGTTTGATTAAGGTATATTGCCTCAAATAAAAATGATTGACTGTGTTAAAAATCTTGTTATTACTTTTACAGTATGTTTAGTGAGATGGATAAAATAGCTTAATGCTGATCATGATGATAAGCCTCTCTCTCAATGCAAGCTCAGAAGCACATTGCGTCACCCAGCTCCAGGAATTAATTGTTCTCTTAAAAGACTGTGGAAGTCCAAGTGCAATGTCACAACTCAGCAGCGAAGATCATGTTTTCCCACTTACGCAGGAGCAGTGGCTCCAGCTGGAGCACACATATGGCTTAAAGGTGAATGGTGACATCTATAGAAGTAGATAAAATAATTACTCTTACATTTACGTTTTAAGGGCCTCTGAGGATTATAAATCTATATGCTGCAAACAAAACATTTCTTTGCCTGTGTCAACAGCGGCACATTTTCTAATTAAAAGTGATCACTTTTCTAAATTGAATTTGTGTGATGTTGTTGTTAGTGGGTTTTTAGCTTTTGCATTTTTTCTCAGTTTGGGGCACGCGAATCAAATCGGTTTTAGTTTTGTTGATGATCTGCTTCCATTTTGGATTGTGAAGTGCTTGTGTTGAGTTGTGAACAAATGCTTGGGATATTTCTTGGCTTATGAAAAGATATTTATGAAAGCATTTTAGAGCAAACCATTGGAAAATACTCATTGGTCTTGAAGTTAAAGTTTTAATACAGCAATTTAATTGAGGATCATTTTAGAATGACCTAGTGGTACTAGTGCTCTGATGAAGAGCGCTGGGCAGATCTGTACCTGCGCAGGATACGGTGGACAACTGAGATGGGCATCAGCTGCTCACCTGGCGCGGCTTTGGCAGCTGTGGTCTTCTCTGCAGTCAAGAAAACCTACAATGAGATCTCAGGAAATACGTGTTGTGGAAACAAGCAATTGTCATTAAACACATGCTTCTAATTTTGATGTACATTATGGTCTAGTAATGATTTGAGACCTCAAGCTTCAGTTTTCCATGAAATCTTCATAGCTGGTTTATGAATGTCCCCCTTCCTGCCCTTGAGGTGTTATTTGTAGTTTGAAGAAGGCAAGCTGAGAGTGAAAACCCCAAGATGCGGGTTCTTGTTATTCAAATAAAACTGAGCTCCAGCAGTAAGTGCAGCCCTGCATCCAGGATAATCCTCCTTCCCGCAGACTGGGACTGAGCAAGTGCGGTGGCAGGGGGTGGCTGGAGAGCTGAGTGCGACAGCAGCTCTCCGCTGACAAAGGCAGGAGCTGCGAAGAAGAAAAGATTGACTCCGCTTGTTACGTGGAAAGAAAGAGGCAGCATTTCCTGGGCAGGTTTCTGGCACAGGCACAGCTCTCTGGTTTAGAGGTTTGATGTTAGCCCTCACCCTCCTCTGAAGCTTAAGAAGAATTACAGGCTCATAATTCAGACATCTCTTATTTATGCAGTTTCAAACACAGAAAGAGCCTTGTTCAAGAACTGTCATTAAAAAAAAACTTTTTGTTTTAATGATGAGATGTTTATGAGAGTCTGGACTATCTGCCTTATAAGTGTCCAGTGTGCAAATGAAGTACCACTCCGCATAAATCTCACATCTCATAAGTGCTGTAAAATCAACCATACTGACAGTGTTTGTCATATGGTAATTTTCCAAGCAGGTAGAAAGTTTTTCAATGCTGATTACAGCACCAAAATTTGGAAATATGGTATGAGCATAGATCGGGGAAGATTGGGATATATGCTGAGAAATGGTGACTGCTACAGATGGCTGATTTATAATATAGGGCAGTGTATGTGTGCATTTTCTATGCTTTTGCATGGGACATATGCTCTAGGGTTTTATAGATGAATTTGTAGTCTCTAGTAATTTGCAGTTTCCACTGCAGTTTCACATATCTACATCATTTTCAGGCTGATGATTTTTCACAGTCATTTATCCCAAAAGCACTTTATCCTACTTAATCTGGGTCATAATTGACATGGGACTTGTGCATAAGCAAACATAGCCATAACTTGTGTTTGAATGGGCTGTTAACGTCAGGGATTTAGTTACGTGCAGCGAAATAGATCAGAGGTTGGAATAAGTATAAATGTTCAAATAACTGATGAATGCAAGGTTGCTATCATGACTCGGACCCAGGAAACACTCTTGAACGCTTACATGCTATTAGCTAACAGCTGCCTTCGGCTGTAACAAAGACGTAAGGTTGAAAATTGTTGGCAAGAAAGCTGTTGGAATTGGATTTTATTTACTGCAAATCAACAGGATATCTTTGCAAGTATAAAAGACATATGGAAAAGTCCATTGTTATCGTTGTACTTTGTTGTTTCTCCAGATGTTCTCCCTCCTGCCCCACTCTGGAGCTGAAAGTGGAAAATGGTTTTTCATTGTTTTTAGCTGACAGTGCCAACATCTGCCTTGGCATTTCCCTGGGGAATGATATTAGCACTACTGCGAGTTTCCGGTTTATCATTTATGTCTCATTAGCTTTTTTTTTTTTTTTAAAATAAAACATAATGTAAGATCATGAAGTCTCAACCTTCTGTTTAATGGGAATGATATTAGCACTACTGCGAGTTTCCGGTTTATCATTTATGTCTCATTAGCTTTTTTTTTTTTTTAAAATAAAACATAATGTAAGATCATGAAGTCTCAACCTTCTGTTTAATTATTTTCGGGGGAGCAGGAGTGAAAACGCATCAAGGTAAACAGTTGGGTGGCCACTGAACTATCACAGCAAAACTTAATCAGCCCCCTTATTTTAAAGGCGCTGTAAATGAGCTGATATTTTTCATTGAAAGAAATAGTATTTGTGTGCTCAACACACTCGAAGATCTCATTATGCTTAAAATAGCTGTGTTTTTTAACATACATTTAGTCCATCATGAGTGCACAGCGTGGACTGTGCTGTACTCTTGAGGAAGGAGAACCAAATGATTATCTTCGTTTGGAAGTACTCTTCATTGGTCGTGTATGCTCTCTTGAGCTTTCGAGAAAATTTGGGCTAAAATTCCCAAATATAGGTGTCTAATACTAGATTCTTACCTGTGGTTCATTTATAGCAGGCTCTAGCTCTTTGTTCATTTTTTACAATAGCTAGAAAACCTGTGACTAGAGCTCCTAGGTGGTAACAGTATAAATTTTAGCAATATCAGTCCATGTTTAGGCAAGTTTTCTGGTGGAATCTGTGTGTCTGAGAAACTTCAAATTCTTTATGATCTCACATTTTTGTTTGCTTCTTTGTGCCTTGGAAGTTGTTTGTTTGGTTACTTGTTTGGTTGCAATTATTTACAGTTCACTGGTGGTTTCTTGAGATCCTAGCAAGAAATTCCACAGACAGCTGCAAAATATATCTTTAATCAATTTTAGGAAAGCTGATTCCCTAACTAACACATTTCTTCCAGCTAAGACACAGAATAAACGCTTCTGCAGATACTCAGGGGAAAAAGTCTTCCTGACAAAACTATCCTTTTCATGGATTGTTGTAGTGTCATCGTCGTGTGGTTCAGGCTAGTCTGAGAGCATTGTAACTTACGTATGTTGGCCTTATCAGTACTGTGCTATCTTATCCCCAATTGCTTTTTTATTAAGAAACACCTTGTGCCATTTTTTAAGCTTCTCAGGGTGAGCCTGTGAGAGCCAATGTTGCTGGTTATGTTTTTTCTGTATATGTCTATAAGCAGAAAGAATAGAACAAAGATACTATTTTTGTGGAGGTTTTAGAGCAGCAATATTCTATAGGCAAATAACACAATTTATTTTTTCATCATTCAAATGGTAATAGTGTAAATATTGCTGATACAGTTAGATAAGTCGGCATACGAGGAAATAGTAGCATGTTTCTATTAGAGTTTTGTCTGCAAAATGAAGAATTCTCAAGTGTATTGGGATTAAAACAATCCGTACAGATCAGAAGTTTTTAGATCCATGAGGTCTGATTCAGGCTTATCTCTTTCTTCTGTAAACCTAATTTGTGTGCAAATTTTGTGCAGAAGATTTTGTGTGGCAACAATTCCACTGTGAATTCATTTGATGTAGTAAGGCCAAAAGGTTTTATTGAACTAGTACTTTTCTTCTCATTTTATTGAAATGTTCACATGTTTAGGTGTTGAGGTAGGAGTTAGAACTAATTTGCCACTTAATTGTGAGTATTTATTCGTTTATTTTCCTTTGCACTCATGCAAATTTCATTGTTTCCCTTATGTCTTTTCAGGTCAGGATCGCAGTGAAGCCACTCTAATAAAGAGGTTTAAAGGTGATGGTGTCCGATACAAAGCAAAACTGATTGGGATAGATGAGGTTTCTGCTGCACGAGGAGACAAGTTATGCCAAGACTCCATGATGAAGCTCAAGGTGCAGTGAAACTTTTAATGTTTAATATTATGGAGTAAAGGGGAGCGAATTTCAGCTTGAACTTTTACTCATTCTCCTTTCATGACACTGAGTCACACTGGTTAATTATGTATGGAAATCAGTCAATTTTACATGAACTTTTGGCTGGTATTGCTTATCCCAGTTTAATTTTAATACATTATCTCTGAGTTCAGTAGTTATTCATGATTGACACCACTGCAATTTGTCCACAAATTATAAACAACACATCTGCAAATTGAATAATTTTATTATGCAAAAGGGGAGGTAAACCACTATGAAGAAAATAGTGTATCAGATTATATGACAGTGCTAATCAACTACAGCCCTGCCTTTGACCATTATCTCCTTTTGGGACAGACAGGGATGGGTGAGTGACATTGTGGGATGTAGGTAGCCAGATACAGGGGGGAACTGGTGTCCTCACTGGGAGGATAACGTCTTGCACCAGTAACGGCAGGATTGATGGCTTACAATATCAGGAGGCAATGTGCTGAGAGGACAAAACATGAGAAGATAAAGAACAGTCCCCAGAGTTTTGGGAAAGAAATGGAGTAGTGACAAAAGCGTATTTTGAGTAGACTGCAAACTTAGAGGGTAGACAGAATCTGAAAGCACTAGTGGTGTAGGAGAGTGGACTTTCTGGAGCACGCTAGACATCTCTCTTTGGCTCAGTCTTTTCTTAAAACCCTCAAAGAGCATAAGAGCTCTCTGTAGGAAGCATATTTTATGTGGCCCTGGGAAATGTGGAAGAGCTGGAGTGGTTGAGGAGGACGGATAGATAGTGTTTTTCTTGAACACGATGTTGGCTGTTGGCTTCCCATCTGCATTGTAGGGTTACAAGCTAGGTCTAGGAGTAAACCCTCAACAGTCTTTTTCCTGTTTTTTTTTCCTTCCAGTCCTCTCCTCAGCAGTCTACCAAGAGAGCTCATGGATTTCCCATTACTATTTTTTTCAGGAGGAGAAATCACTAAATAGTATCTTTTACACTACCAACTAGCAGGGTTCCAGTCTTGAGGAACCAGGAGGAATAAGTGGTTATTCATGAATAAACATCAAAGGGTGACATGCATCTTATGGTTCAACAATCTAAAAGAAAGATCTGGTAGATAATTCACAAATCAGTTACGAACGTTTTATGATAAGCAAAAACTATTCTTAAAGGTGCACTGTTGATTTATCACATCTGCCACAATATTCCTATCTGTTTTAATTGTATACTGGATGTTTCTCATAATTTCATAGTTCCTAGAAGCAATTTGGGAGAATTGTCACTGTTAAGCTGCACAAGACTTTTTGTCTCACTCCTCCATGGATTACCATTTCCACATCTCCCAGATGCCTGATACCTTTTTGCATAGTGGCGAGATTGATCTAAACAGTGTTGTGAGATGACTAAAACTATCAAGGGAAGGGAGCACTAGAAATTCATGTTTGTACGTAAGGCAGCATAGCATGAAGTTATGGGCTCTGGAGACCTAGTGTTTAGCAACATGAGTTTTAATGCCAGGCATAAAGTTTTGGGGTGACTTCTGATAAATGACTCCATTTTTTCTCTTTAATTTTCATGTCTGTGTAATGAGAACGACCTCATGAAGGTCTTAAAACATAAGCTAGTGGTTGTTAAAACATGTTGAAATTGCAGAGCACCAGATAAAGGATAAATATTTTTATTTATTTACTAGTGCAATTGATTGCATTTGATCTTAGTACAGTGTTATTCGTCAGGGCAGGCTTCTGAGAAGGTGGAAATAGAAATTACTGTTATAGTTATGCTGTGGGAGAATAGTACATGAAATGCAGATCAGCAAGTTCACTTGAGAAGTAAAAGCCTGAGAGTATGCAAACAACTAACCCTCAATACCAGTTTTTTACAGCAGAGGTGTAGTTTGATTTTGCTTATTCCAGATAAGTGTGCCCATGAAGTAAGCTAAAGTTGTTGGCATTTTTTTTCCTCCACTGCTTGTTTTTTTTTTTTTCTTTAAAAAAAGAAAACAAAACAGCTTACAGCTGGGAAAGTGTGCTAGAAATGACCTTCAGCTTCCATGAAAACAAATTTCATGGAGGATTAGCTGGTGCTGGGGTTGGAAGTGGGAGCACATTTGAAATGCTCTCTGGGTGGCGTAGAGAGATGTGGTACCTTGAAAAAAGGGAGGAAGGCAGTAGTAAGAGGGAGACTGTTCCTGGAAAGCCTTTAAGTTTTCCTAGAAAAGTGGTGAATTGTCCACAAGCAAATCTTTGTGCTCTTCTGTGGCACCTAGAAGAGTAATGAAACCAGCCAAACTGTTCTTTATTTCAATAGGGAATTGTTGCTGCGGCTCGTTCGAAAGGAGAACATAAACAAAAAATCTTCTTAACAGTGTCCTTTGGCGGAATCAAAATCTTCGATGAAAAGACAGGGGTAAGTAAAATAATCATGTGAAGGAACAAAATTGAATCTCTTCATGGATGTTTCTTTAAAAGTATTTTCTGGCTAGGCAGTAGTATCTTGCCAGTGTAAGCACACATGAAGCATCTGACAAGCTTGATAAAAGGTTATCATATACCAGAGCAAGCCATTAGATGACTGAGGTGTAAAGTGTAGCATGGGGATGTAGTTTATTGTAAAGCCTTGTCCTGGATACTTCTGCAGAACCACTTACTTGAGTATACAGATGCTCCTTATGTGCATAAACACTCACAGCTCTGAGTCCAGAAAGTGGCAAGAAGGGATTTGTTTTCCTTCTGACAGATAAAAAAATTGCTTCTTGGAAATACCAGCCCACTGTTTGCAGGAGGCTTTAGCAGTTCATGGTGCAGACTGGTGTCTGTGCCCATATGGGTTTTCTCATTCACCCTGGGCCCAACTGCACCACTCCTTTGGATGCTGCTTAAGACTCCTCAGCAGTACCAAGTGACTTTTGAGAGTAATGACAAGAGATTAGGATTAGAGGCTAGGATTGTCTTGGGTTGGGCCCTTTATGTCATGGGAAGCTGAGGGGAAGAAAACAAGCTGGAACAGGGAGCTGCGGACAACCCCGGGAGAGTGAAGCTTGTTTTCCCCAAGCCTGAGTTAGAGAAAAGGAAGGGCACTGGGAGCTGGGGAGCTCCTGGGAGCCGCACACACTTAGCTGGGATTGCCCGGAAGATGTCCCAGGGGAATGCTAAAGAATTTCTGTCAGGTCCATAATTCCAGATCAGCGCAGTTGTAGTCACCAGAATGCAATATACTCCTATTAACAGCAGTGGCTGTCTTCTGTCAGATACGCAGTAGCCATAAGAAGCAGTGCTTTTGTATCATCAGTGGTACAAAAGGTATATATTGTATGGAATTGGAGGTAAAAGATATTGGAAAGTTTGAGGTTGCTGTTTGAGATTGCCAAGCAGCAACTCATCCAGTAGCATCTGGTCGAGGAAGTTGCGGGAGACTTCCATGCCTTACATAGTTTTTGCCACAGCAATATCATGTTTGATTTTTTAAATTGCTCTGAAAGAAGAAACCTAAGCAAAACATTATACTACTTAGATATAAAGCGACAACACACAAACTGTTTTAATCCTAATTAAGAAGATTTCTACAGCAGTTTAAGCTCTGCCTTGAATTTTAAAAAGCTCTTGATTTAATCTTTTGAAAGATTAACTATTTAACATGATGCCAGAAATAAAACTCTACTGATGATAGATGAAATTATCTTTGCCAGTTAATTTATATTATTAGAAAATCAATGTCATTGAGCTCACTGATACATAATACAAGTAGTTAGTAATGAAAAGCTCATTTGGAATGTGTTGTGTACAGCATGTGTAAAGTATTCATACAAAAGCAGTGTTTAAGAGAACATGGCTGAGGTTACAGCCTGTGTTCAGAAGATAGGAAATGTCAGGTTTAGGGCTGCCAGTACAGTCATGGCTGGGTCCTCTAATAAATAGACATTAGGGTAGTATTTAACTATGGGATGACATACCATTTTTTGGCCAGAGAATACCAGCTTCATTCAGTGTGCAGAACAGAGTGTAATACACTGAACAATATGGTAATATTTTGTTTTCTTTTCTTCAGTGTGCAGCCCACTGCCTTGCCACACACTCTGCAAATTGCACTGAGGCCACAGTTACGTTCCTAAGACTAAAGTATTTTCTTGGGAAAATAAAAAAAGAAGAGAGAGAGACTTGTCCTGTGGCCCTTGTCTCTGAATGTTTCACAAACATAGAATTTATTTTCATAAAATAAAGAGGGAAAAGGGGATGCGATTAGAAACAAAGGTGTGGTTTAGCCAAATTGCCTTTTCTGCGGCATGCTGCACACTCTCTTATCTGCAACTAGTGAGGCGGGGACATGAGAACAAGTCTCCTTCATTTCATAACTTTGACACCCTATACTCTGAATCTGACATAACTATATCATCCTTATAATAACGCTGTCACTCACTCACCGAGGCTTAGACTGAAACCTTTAAATCCACCTTCCAGATGTCTGCCCCTGAGCTGCCGGAGTGATAGACAGGAGTATTGAGTGGTCCTTCTTGAAACAGGACTGTGACAGAGGGATGTGGGGAGCTTTTGACATCAGTTTTTACGTGTTTTTTTTGAAAGCAGGAGAATCATAGTTTCCATGCTAAGCTTTTGAAGCAGGGGTGCATGAATTCCTCTGCTGGTTCTTCACAGCCACCATCCCTTCAGCTTTTTATCAGCTTGGGTCTCTCCGTGTCCCAAAGTTTCATGTCCTTGACCCACTCGTCTCATGGTCTCTCTCATCCAGCCTGTCTCCACTTCGTCAGTCTACAGTTGTCATCTTATTCCCTTTTTCCCTTTCCTGCTGGTAGTCACATACAATCTCAACACCTGAAATACACTGGGTAGCATCAGCAACAGGTCACGGACAGACCCCAGCAGTGTCTCTGGGCTCTATGAGCCTGCAGGAGCACTACTGAGGCAAGGTGCTTTCCACAGCACAAGAGACAACTATTTAGGGGTGATGCACTGTCTCGTCCCTGTGCCTTTGGCTCATCCTGGTGTAATGCTAAGAGATGTCAGCTGTTGTAGTAGTAAATAATACCATCTGTGTAGTCTCACATCGATGTCTGTGTGCTAGTCACCCCCAAAGAAAGCTGCGTTACTGCTGTAATGTGGAGCCTCCTATAAAGCAAAATCAGGACGATGCAATTAGGTAATGCAGGACACTGATAATCCCGTTCTTGATTTAGAAGCAATAGAGAAAATGCCACAAGCTGGCAAAACTGGGGATATATGATTGCTCAGCCTGGCTCTTTTGATGGGACAGAAGGGAAGTTTGTGGTTTGCTCGTATGGATCTTCTGGTATCTATCTGGTAGAGTTTAGAAAGTTTGGAGACTGACATTCACATTCATGCAGCAGGGAAAAAATCTGCCCTTAACAGGGAACAGCCTGGATAATCTTGCATTTGCTTTCTCCTCCTTTAACTGCCTTCCCTGTCCCCCACAATGCTTTCTCTCAGTTGTATTTCCATAATTTTGGAATTCACAAACAGATATTTTGGGGCACAGTGCTCATTTATTGTTTATTTGGAAAGGTATTTACCTCTCTAGAGTGTCCTTTCTTAATTTTTATCATTGGCTACTGCTATCATGTCTGCCACAATGGCAGTCTGATGTGATAGAAAAGAGAAAAAATCTTCTGAAAAAATGTAGGCTTCTATATGCTTAGTATCTTGTAGGCTACTATTGGATTTTAATTTATCACAATAAAAAATCAATTTGTAGCTCAAAACTAGCAGATTTTTTAAAATCGACAGTGCCATAGCTGACTTCATACAGATGATTTAGGGGAATTGCTCCATAATTCATTACAGATGAAGGGCTGTAGCTGGGTTACTACTGAAAATGATAAGCAAGGTTTTTTCCCCTGTACCTTATAGCTCTCTCTGATATGTTCCAGACCTAATATTCATCAAAAAATATTGATTTTAATATTGCTAATATTCCAGCCATCAGGAATTCTGCCCTTTGAGTAAATTTATCCATGAAGGAGATTAGGTTGAAGGTGGAATATAATTTGGGAAGAATTTATCTCACCAAGAAAAATACGAGAAGGATTTGCTGTGAGTTTGCACTGTAGATGCGATACAATTTAGTTCATCTACAGTACTGCAATAGAAATAACACTCCTCTCTTACACTTCATCATTCTATTCCATGGATTAATCTAAATAGGTCCCTTCATACCACTTTTCAAATACTTGTCAATGTATTGACTTGACAACGTATCGTATGTTGACCCTGCAAGCTTGTAGTTTGCATATACTGTTATGTAGACTCACTCATCTGCCATAATTATTACTAAACCCAGACTTTGTCTACCTAATGCCACTTCAGAGATTTCATGGTTGCGTATTATATGAAAATAATTTTTGATCGTTTGTTCTGTCATATTCCCCCTGCACCCTGGTGACATCTCAGGACACGATTTTTCAAACAGTACAGCACAAGCTGAAATGTATTCTTCATTAGCAGACTTCCATGAGAATATCTTTTATATTTTCAAAAGCATGGTCTGTAGAAGGCAAAAATGCAAATAGTTGCATCGTGCTACTTAATACTTCCTTTTCCAGGACAGAACTTAGTGGTTAATGTGTTCCTTAGAAAGCAACAAAAACCGTAACTCTCAATATAGCAGGATATGCAAAATTTTTAAAGGACCATCATTGTTCATTAGCTATTTATGAGTATTATTTTGTTAATTACACACATCAGGCTATCTCCCTGTGATAGCTTAGTAATGCTTCATTAGATGTGCGTGACTAATATGGTCTCCGTAAAGAGGCTGTAATTGTCTCATTGTTTATTTATGTAACAATAAATCTTTGTTTACTGTAGGTTACTTTCAAAAAATTTATTTAAAAATAACAATTAAATTCCCTAAAATACTTGGGAAACCATTTTCTTCTACATTCACGTAATGAGGTATACTTTTAAACTCATGCGCTTTCTAATTGCAAAATTCTGTTGACTTTAATGAAAAACCCAGACACTATGAAAGAGAAATACGATGAAAGCAAAAAATTACTATTTGGCTTTAAGTAAAGAATTATTTCTGTTAAAGTAAACTTTTGTATTAGCTCGTGGATATGCAAATTGCCAGAATATACTGCAATATATATCTATATATGCTATTGTTATAGATGAAATATTTATCTAGACTCTACAGTTGTCCAAAAAGTATGATAGACTGTTGTGGTTTAACCCCAGCCGGCAACTAAAGCACCACACAGCCACTTACTCACTCCGCCCCGATGGGATGGGGGAAGAATCAGAAGAGTATAAATGAGAAAACTCGTGGGTTGAGATAAAGACAGTTTAGTAAGTACAACAAAAGCCACACGTGCAAGCAAAGCAAAACAAAGAATTCATTCACTGCTTCCCATCGGCAGCCATCTCCAGGAAAGC